GACGTTCTGCCCAGCAAGACACTCTCCGCGGTGTGGGCGTCTGCATGTGCCACGTGCTGGAACTTGTGGTTGTCTCTGCTTGTTCCTCCGGTCATTCTGCTGACCCCTCTTGTTCTTAGGCTTTGCCTGCTGGACAAGCGCTGGCTGAGCTGGGGGCAATGTCGGATACTGAGCTGGGGGCAACACTGGGGGCTGAACTGATGGCTGTACTAGATCCATCCTGAGACTGGCGTCTGTCTCCTGGGCCTTAGCGACGACATCGGCGTAAGACTGGACGCCATGTCCCGCTACGTGGTGACGGATAGCTGGCAGTAACCCGTCACGAAAGCGTCTCGCTTTCTTCGTCTTGGTGTCCACCAGATAAGGGACAAAGGACCCGAGACGAACAAACTCCCGCTCGTACTCATCCACGGAGCGGTGGCCCTGCTTAAGCGCCAAGAACTGACGCTCCATCTCAGCCTTGTAGGTATCCGGGTAATACTTATCCCGCAGCATCTCCTTGAACTGTGGCCATGTGAGGTTCTCCTTCTCACCAGGGCGCAAGCCCCAGTAGGAGTTCCACCACAGCCTGGCGTCTCCTGTCATCTGAACCTGGGCACACAGAATGCTGTGCCTCTCGGAGCACTCGATGATCTCGAAAATGGCCTCGAGACCCTGGATCCACTCATCAACTAGGCGAGGATCTCCCTGCCCCGAAAACTTATCTGGGTTGTAGCCGCGAAACTGGGCGACTACCTCAGCCTGAGTCATCGCTCTCTGAGCTTGGTTTTGACGACGGGCCATATGAGAATAAGCCGCGTAACTTGGTCAGAACAGGAGATGAAATTGAATAAGGCTAAAAGGAGACGCTGAATACAGAAATAGGCTCAAATTTCTTGACGAGTTGCTGAAAATAACTCGATAATCTAGAGTTCGACTAGAGTTCGAATCTAGAGTTTTGAATTCTGATAGAGGACATATCTGATACTGCTAGGAGTCTTATACTGATTCGAGCATCTAAAGTTCGGATTATCTGAATCCCATTGAGCATAGACATAGTACAGTTTGCTTATATAAACTTTGAAAAACTTTTACAGCATGCACTTACCTGGTAGTCGGCGCGGCGTGAGTGTGGTGTGGTCGGGTTTTGCAAAATTTCCAGTCTTTTAAAACATTCAGAAGCACAAAAGTGCTCTGATACCAACTGCAACACCCCGCTTCTATAGAGCCAATTTTTCGCAAATTTTAACTCTTTCGAAAACGCTTATAAATTTTTCGAAATCATTTGCAAACTATCTCGGGATGCTGCTAAAACTTTTCTGCTTAAAAATCCATTTTCTTTAACCTAGGTCTAACGGCTGGTTTAGACTTAAAGAAATCAGATTTATATTTTATCGAATCATGCATATTAATCTGGACCCGTTCGTGCTGGCGAACCGGGTAAAACTTTAATGTCTGAAAATAACGTCATGCATGTTCGAAAATAAACGTAGCGGAAGTCTGAAATGCGTGGTCATAATAATTATACAAAACATTTTAAACAAATGTCCCTGGAACGGCTCGCTGTGCCATCTCCACGACCACAACCACCACAGCTCGACTCACGCCTGCCCGCCGACCCTGCCATCTAAATATATAAAGTTGGGGTGAGTACGGTCCACTTGTACTCCATAAAAACCCATTCTAAAGTAAACAACAATAATAATAATGATATCACAGAACTGGTATATATAAGTAACTGAAACTCCCGGACACTATGGCCTGTAATTGTAATCTCCCGGACACTATGGCCGGTAACTCCCGGACACTCTGGCCGGTACCGTGTGCACACTCTGATGGTATATTTAAGGCGAACTGGGCCACCACCAGAACATAGGGAAGGACAACTCGGCCTTAACCCCAAGCGGATAAAACTCATATACATACATGAACGTGATATCGACTATTATACTCAATGTATATCCCAGACTGGGTCCCCACCTGATCTGCTTTGAAAATAGGTAGGTGCGGCTATGCTGGAAGCTGACTCCTCAAGCTACATAAAAATATAAGCAAACAAATATACTAAGTACTATGCTCGTCATATGCTCAATAATATGCTAGGATGCTCTACTCTATCAGATTACTCATCCGGATATAAGGGAACGCTCTATGGGTTCACTAAAATAATTCTAAGTCCAGAAATCAAACTGATATGCTTAACTGATCTGGTTTGGCTCGGAAAATTATTTAAATTTTGGAATAAGACTTGGACTGAAAATCACGAACCAAAACTGACTCGAATCGCCGGCTAAACCGGCCGATTCGCTCACTAACTGAACCGGGTAGGGCTGAACCGGACCGGGTTGGACCGCCGGTTCACTCTGGACCGGGTGGTCACGGGCTGCTCGGACTGGCCGGGCTCGGTCCCGTGCCGGGCCTGCTGGGGCCATGGCACAGCGCTAGACAAGAACTGGGTGGCCTCGGTGCTAGGCGCTGCTGGGCGCGGGCGGTGCGGCTGGCACGGGCCCTAGCATGACTGGTGCCACAAGGTGCTGCTGGGCACGGCTAAGGGTGGTTGGGTGCTCTGGTGCGCTACTGGCGCGAGCACGGGCACGACTGGTGCCACTCGGGTGCTACTGGGAACAGCCGAGGTCAACTGGGCGCTGGGAGCACGACTGGGCACTGGGAGCGCGACTGGGCACTGGGGCGTGCGACTGGTCATGGCCCGAGTACGGCTGGCGCGAGAACTGGCGCAGCCAGGCACTACTCACGCGACTCTGGCGCAACTAAGGCTGTTAGGGCACTGCCGGGCGACCCTGGACACGCGGGCGTGCTGTTAAGCACGTCCCGGGCCAACTGAGTGCTCGGGCGTGCTGCTGGGCACGTCCCGAGGCCTCTGAACAAGGCTCGGGTTCAGTAAGGTGCAGCACTGAACACTCGGGTGCACTGCTGGCACGACCTGAGGTCGACTCCGCGTGGCACGAGCGACTGGCTCGAGGTCACGCGTGCACTGACGCTGGANGCTAGGCGCGGGCACGGACAGAGGCACTACCTGGCCTCTTCGACGCGGCACGGGCACGGCACTTGCGCATGGGCTGAGAATAATACTAACTCTTGGGCCGAACATAGCATACCATAGGGCTGAATAAAAGTGCCATGACACTTAAAAAAATCCATGCATAAAACCAAGGTCTTGGCTTGGCAATGGAGTGGGCTCGCGGCACTCGGGCGCGAGGCATGCTTTGACTCGGTAACACTTGGACCGAGGACTTAACACTCCAAAGGGCTGAACCCATGCCCGAAAATACTTAGAAAACATTCTCCACAACCTCGGTTATAGCTGGGCGAGGACTTGGCACGGCTTTGGCCCGAACTCGCGAACCCTAGGCGCGAGTGATCTCAGGGGCCACGCACGAGCTAGGTGCGGTATATCCGACCGAGAGAAATGATATCGAAGGCTCGATAAAAATGATCTCATACTTAGAAATTATTCTAAGTAAGGCTGTGAGCACAACTAGGGCTCGAACAAGATTCGGCACTACTAGGGCTCGAGAATTAGCTAGGCGCGAACTAGGCGCGATACTCGTGACCGAACGACTCGGTTCCGGACACGGCTTGACTTGGATGATTTATCGAAACATACTCGGTCTCGATTATTCGTCAACTGGAAATATTAATTCCGACTGAATAAAATCCATTACAAAAATAAATGGACCAGAATTAATAACTGGAATTGAATAGCTGATAACTGAGCTCGGAACTCAAGACGAGCAGTATTAATAAAAAGAAATAGTTCAACTTGGAACTAAAAACTGTCATTTTATTAATACAGAACTCGGCTATTACAAGCTAACTCACCAAAATACGTCCTACAGGTTAAGGTATCCACACCCACTTATAAGGCATGTTTCGTTCTCCTTAACAATCGATGTGGGATATCTAATCCACCCCCCTTGGGGACCCAGCCTCCTCACTGGCACATCAGTCCGGGTACTAGCTCTGATACCCAAAGCGGACAATATTCTATAGCGGTTGAGCTGGGCTGTTACAGATGGTATCAGAGCCAGTACCCGGACTGTTACAGAACAGTTGTTAAGAAGTTAACTGTAGGACGCGTTTTGGTGAGCTAGCTCCCAAAGGCAAAACCGTGAGGGTGAGAGTACCCAAAGCGGACAATATTCTACAGCGGGCTGGGCTGTTACACGAGGGGTTTCTGACGTTGGCACTTTGATTATCAAGTCAGTCCACAATGATGAAGATGATGAAAAGTAGGTATAAAGCTCAGCAAGTATAGACTGTGTAGATAATGTAGAGTGTAAATGGACATATCCCACCTCTTTATCTAGGGGTGTTATCTTGTTGCCCAAGACTGGCCGAGCGGGCTGCCCAAATTGCTCGAGTTCCCCGTTCGTATTGCCCAAATTGCCCAATTTTGTTAAGACATGTGGTCCTATCAACGTGTGGTTCTTATCTTAATAATATTCATTCTTATCATTAGTCTTCCTTACTAGACGGTCGCTCGTGCGAACGACCCAACTCGAGGTAGAGTGCTTTCAGTATTGACCTCATATGTTGTGCTCTTCTGGTTGACCTGTCGACTCGTTATGCATTCAGGTCGAGTTTCAATGAGACTATTCGAGGGTTGTAGTTCGACCTGTCGATGTACCTTTAGTCTTGCGATGTCTTCATCGACCAGAAGACTCTTCTCTTTGTAGCTTCTTTCATCTCTGTTCTATAACTGCCTGTAGCTTTGTTCGACCAACCTGTTTACCCGATTGGATTGGCTGTCCAGTTTGGCATCCCACATCATAATTATTTTTTTTTTTCATTTTTTTTTTTAACTTTTAAATTTTAATTTCATTTTGTTAGGGGGACATAAGCAAGCATTGACAATCAAATATGACAACATACATGCACGTACGACATACTAATATACTGTTTGAGATAGAGGACATATCAGGGCTCCAAACACCTTTTAAATATGTTCTCCAATCGTTTTCCACACATCCGCCAATTATGGTAACCGTAAAATATGTTGATTGATAGGTCTTTTCAAATAGTTACCCCCAGTCATATATAAATATTAATAAAACTTATTGACATTGTTAAAAGAAACAAAACATCACCGTACAAGAAAAAATAAATTAAAGAGAATATAAAAAATATTTCATAATATCTGATTGAAATAGCCGAAAAAATAAAAAGAAAAAACACACTAGAGATAGCAGTTGCAGTGATTCTCGACAGCAAATAACAAAACCTGACCATTCATAACCGTTTTAAACCGCCATTTTCATTTCTAACTTGGGATGCGGCTCATAATTCTTCAGCTCAAAATCAGCTGCAACAAATGAATCAATGTCCTTTTTATGCTGGTTGATTGTCAATATCTGTTCAACAAGGGAAGAAAATTAAACTCTGCAACATTTTGAAATATTTTTCCAAAAGAAAAAATATCCAAAACACCACTACAAAAATGCTCAGCAAGCTTATGAGTCGTGACGTGTAAATGTCATTAAGCAACACCACGTTTAGTTTTGCTGTTTACAAATATACAACTTTTTATACTTACTGGAAAAGGTCTTGGTTGTTTTTTCAGTTGCTCCTGCAATGGGCCAATGTGAGTCTTGTAGACATGAGCATCCCCAATCACATGAACAAAATCACCAGGAACAAGACCTGTTTGACAGAAGCAAATCGTAAGCTACTTGGCCCACATGTCCAATTTCTGCTTCTTTTTTTTTTAATCCGTAATTTCTGCATACCACAAACATGAGCAATCATGCATGTTAAAAGCGCATAAGATGCAATGTTAAACGGCACCCCAAGACCCATATCGGCCGACCGTTGGTACATCTGGCAGGATAGCTCACCATTGGCTACATAAAACTGCAAAAAATAGTTTTAATCGAGAAAATCAAGCACCAGAGGAAGGTGTAATTTATTTGGGTTCTTTAGGGGAAAAAAGGTGAAAATAGTTTAACCTGTGCAAACATGTGGCAAGGTGGTAAGGCCATCAAATTAAGATCTGAAGGGTTCCAGGCAGAGAGTATAATCCGCCTGTCATCGGGTTTATTTTTAATCTTGTTGATAACATCCAGCAACTGATCAAACCCTTGTCCTGCATAGTCGGCGTGCATATTGGTGTATCTGTAAAAACGAGTCGTGAAAATAAACTTTTGGGAGTAAATAATTTGGATAGTTCAGTTATCCTCGAGTAGCCATAGCTGACCTGGCACCAAAATGTCTCCATTGAAATCCATATACTGGACCCAAATCACCCTCTTCCCTTTCCGTCAATCCAATACTGGACGAAAATAGAAAGGAGGAAATTTTGAGACAATTTTAATCGAACTCAGCTAACACAGTACAAACTAAATTTCCAAAGTTTTTGTAATTGCCTGTCAAGGAATTCTCTGGATGCATTGCCGTCCCATATATGTATCCCTTTTTCTTGTAGAACCTGTACCCAATGCATTCCATTAACATTTACATTTCTGATATTTTATTCAATATTATAAGAAAAAGGCAAATATACATGTACAAGAAATAATGTGAATATCAACAGAATAATTATAAGAGTAGGGGAAAAAACTAGAAATGCAGATCTGCGTGATTATTGACTTAAATGCATCAAGACATACAGACGAGAGAAATATGTAAATGGGTTAACTTTGGGATAAAAAGACGAGGAGCATTTTCTAAATAAAATTTGTATTAATTATATCTTTACTATACACAACCTTTAAGTGTCTCCACCACCAATTGTACGAATTAATTGGTGTATACTCAAGGGGTACATAAAATGACTGAGAATCACCTTAGCATTTGTTGAACCACTGATGAACCACAAAAGCTCTTCAACAACTCCACGCCAAAAAACCCTCTTTGGATCCAACATATTCCACACAGAAAGCAGGCATGGGATATGTTAGATTTCACTTTCCAGTAGATGTAACACGACAATATATCAGCTAATAGATAGCATAAAACTTTTGATTTTGTAATACATGTGCAATCTTTGTTGAGTGTATAAACAAATAAAATTTGTAGATTAGAAAAGCTGCATACTGTCAAGTAATTCTCAAATATATTTATAAGGAGCTTCCAATAGGAACAATATTGTTGCATATAAGTCAATTTTAATCCACAAACATGAAAAAAGCTAATACCTTGGTGGTCAAAAGAGGGAAAGATTTACGCAGGTTAAAGCGCATCTGCAATGTGTACAGCACAAATATCAGAAGGGAAACAACAAGCATAATATCATAAGCAATACTCTCAAAATTATGCCACCAAGTTTAATAACATACCTGGCAACCAAATTTGGAAAGAGTCCCGGTTCCAGTTCTGTCACCTTTGGTGTTTCCATTTAAAATAATATCTTCAATCAGTCTTAAGTACAAATATTCTTCATGCTTCTCGAAAATAAATTTGGGCAAGAAAGTGTAATTCGAGATTTTTAATTTTTTGGATGGTGGTGCACGACCGTCGCAGTTTATTTCACAGCCAGAATTAGTATGCAACCGCACGTATGTTGAAAAACAATACGGGATTCCATTTTCCTCAAGAGGGGAGGTTGAGTACCATGGCTGATAAAGTGAAGTATCAATAGGAGGAATAAAGGTGTCACAATTAATGCAACTCTTGATTTCAGTTATGTGGATGGCATCACATTCAGGCGCGTTAAGTGCTTCCCTGCATCCACACGCATGTTAGCATTTGTTTCTCCATAGCACGTAGCAGAAGTACCAAAGAAATGCGATAAAATGGATGTTTGGCCAAATTACCCAAATGTGTAGCCAAAAAAAAAACCCAACTTCAAAGATTATGAATACTGCCCTTGAAGTCATTAGAGGAGCTAACAGAATTACTATACTAAAAATAATTTTACAATTACATCCAACAACTTTTCTAAATATAACAACCCCAGTTTCATCTTACATCTTTAAGTTCACATTTCTCGAATTTTCTGAACATGACACATAGACAGGGAAGACGTTAGAGATATTAGTAATAGTTTGAAAAATTGAAGGGTGCCACTGTTAGATACTCGATTAGATTAGCAAAAATTATCATAAGAACTCACAGTTGGAGCACAGAGTCAAATCAATATACCTAATGAAAGAATCTTTTTTATTTTTTTAAACTCAGTGCTACTTCCTNAAAAAAAAAAAAAAAAGTAAAATAAAGGAAATAAAAAAGATAATGAACCGCATGAGAGCATTACCTCAAAATCTCACCACCTCCAATCAAGAAAACCTTATCCACCGAAATACTATATGGTGGTTCAGCCAACAATTTCAAAGCTGAGGGCACACTATTGCAGAAAATAACATTCTCAACATCGTGATTCTTCGGGCTTCCAGAACGAGTCAGGATAACATTGAGTCGACCAGGCAGAGGTCGAAACTGAGGGGGAATACTTTCCCAGGTTTTTCTACCCATCATAACAGCATTCTTCTTTTTAGGATCTAAAGTTGTGGTAGTGATCTCTTTGAAAAATTTAAGGTCGCCGGGCAATTTCCATGGCAGCTTGCCGTCTTTTCCTATTCCCATATCAGGAGTTGCAGCCACCACGACTTGGTAAGTTCTAAAAGAACTTGAAGGCTGAGTTAATATCTTGCCACTGGAAAGTGATCCATTGGAATTGCCACTCATTGTCAGATACTTTCTACAGAACCTTTTACTTGGAAAAGGCTTTAAGCGTTTGAGAGACAGCACAAATGAAGATTCTGAAGCTGGACGGAATATGCTACTCAGTAAAGAAACCAAGGCAACCTGAAATTCATATCAAATGTGATATAGCCAAACTAAACAGAGGAGGGATAGAAAACGGTAAATGACCAACAATTAAGCTATTTATGATGTAATAAGCAGATGGTTATCAATTGTTCTTTCTCCCGCTGAGTTCGAGAATAACGATTCAATTTTTTTAATAAATAAATGAATTTCATACTTTTATGTTCGAAGATATACAATCTTTTTTGCCCCTTGTTTATTAGCAAGATGAAATTCTGGAACAACATTCAACCGATTGCTTTTAAACCGAATATCACCAATAACTAACTAAGAGCAGCATACTGGAAACAGCCTGAACTACAATAACACATGAGCAGCGAACAATGGTAGCAAGAAAGAAATTAAACCGAAGGCCAAGCTTAGCCATATCAAAAGCAGAACAAAGACAACTCGAGTACAGAAATTCGGGAGAATTCTCAAATCTCAATAGAAAATAAAACCTCGCACAAAAACAGAAATCGCACACACACACACGCTCGTAACAGTTATAAAATTACACAGACGCTAGTGCGGCAACTGTGGCCGCCGATCGAAAACGATTTTCATTTTCCAGTCAACTTGCGAACTAAAATCCAAATCTGTTGCTTTCTGAAGGATTTCCGAGGCTTACGCTTTGAATGGATGGTAATTTCACTGCAGTTATTGGGCGGCAGCGGTGAAGGGTCTGGTCGAGAGGTCGAAACTACAATGGAGGGAGGGAATTCGGTGGGAACAAGCAACAGTGCGCGTACTGCATTTATGAAATCTAACAGCGAAAGCGAAATAAAATAATGCGCAGATTAATTAAAATGAGCAAATAGGTTTACCTTTCCCGCCATGGCCCATAGGAGAGAAATGAGGTTTTAGGTTTGAGCCGTGGCCGCTCTTTGAATTCTCATCTCCCAAAGCATAAAGCCAAATTGTGAAAATAATTTAATTTTTTTCACCTAGCAAGTGAGAACACATTATTAAATAAATTATGCCACAGTAGGCGTTGATTATAAGCAAATGCGAACAATGTTGCGACAAATATGAAACAGATACACAACTAGTATGAGCAAGAGCAAAAATATTATGCGATAAACTATATGATATTTAGACGATGAATATACACAAGTTTGGCAAACAGTTCAGTCAATGATGGATCGTGGCCTTGTAGTCGCAAACCAGTTTATTTTGAACAATTCTTTTTTTATGCGAATGAATCTACGACTTTTAGGCAAATAATAATCGCAAAATGCTTGTGAAATAAAACTTTTTAAAATTTATTTTTGGAAATTTTCTATTATGCGACAAAACAGATACATACAAACACCGCATATTATTCGAAGAGATGGTGCAAAAAGTCCTATTCTCGTAATTGTTTATGAAAATTTTAGTTTTTGAAAAATTCTTGTACTGTAACTAAACCAAATTGAAGATGTCATTGTCATAAATAAAAAGACTAGAATGAGACTAAAATTTATAATCATATTTATTCATACTACATAAAAAATGATTAGAATAAAAATAAATTATTTTATAAAATCCTATTGACCAACATTAGTTGGTCGACCTTGCAACACCCCGCTAACTAGGGCCAAATTTTCGCAAATTTTAACTCTTTCGAAAACGCTTATAAATTTTTCGAAATCATTTGCAAACTATCTCGAGATGCTGCTAAGGACTTTTCTGCTTAAAAACCCGTTTCTTTAACCTAGGTCTAACGACTGGTTTAGACTTAAAGAAATCAGGTTTATATTTTTACGAATCATGCATATTAGTCTGGACCCGTTCGTACTGGCGAACCGGGTAAAATTATTTAAGTCTGATNNT